GTGGCATAACCCAATCAATTATATTACACAGCTGAATAAGTAATTCTGCATTGATTATTTCATCTTTTTTGCATGTCCAAAAAAAAGAGTGAGATGTCTGTCATACCTTTTCCATGGGACTAGTTTTGTGGACTTTTAGAAGCTACTTACGTGCACAGTGAGCAGGACAAAATGTATTTATGTACAGCTGTTGAAAACATCTGATGTAATGCTCCTGTGATCGTCTAATAGTATCGAAAAAGGGAAGCTAAGCTTCCTAGTATGCATCTTTATATTCAAGTCAGCATAAGATGAAGTATAATATACTTTATATTATATTAACATCAAGGACTTTTTTTCCAATGTAAGAATTATTTCTGCACAGCATTTTCACAGGGTTACTTAATCTCTTACAAATTATTCAGAAGGAGCATTTTCTGGGAATGTAGGTAAGTATTACTGAAGACAGGATTTGTTCTTAGGTATTCCTAGTTATTTTTTTCTGAAACTGTGTTGAACTTCATTCTGTCATGCAGTTAACACATTTGTGTAGGTGGACCTAAGGGCAGACCTTCAGACTTCAGACTTACTGAGATTTTACTCTGAGCATCAAAACTAAAAATCTCACAGTAAGCCCATCACATTTAACGCAGAAAAGTTGAGTTTAGTATTCCAGCCACCAACAACAATGGCAGGTTAGTTATCTTACTATTTTTTTTGCCTTTGATACGGATGCACACGTGTGTAAATCACTGATACATGTCCATCCTGAGCCACCTTTTCATTATTGTTTGGAACTAGCAAAAAATTATTTTGGAGATGATGACCTTGCTCTCTGGTTTTTGTGGTAGGAGTTTCTGTCTCCTGGGCTCACAAGAATGTAGCTATCAAGGAGAGTGGAGGGATAGATTATATTTATGGGCTTAAGCCTAGACAACATTGAGAAGACAATTGAGTTTAGTATCCCAGCCACCAACAACAATGGCAGGTTAGTTATCTTACTATTTTTTTTGCCTTTGATACGGATGCACACGTGTGTAAATCACTGATACATGTCCATCCTGAGCCACCTTTTCATTATTGTTTGGAACTAGCAAAAAATTATTTTGGAGATGATGACCTTGCTCTCTGGTTCTTTTGGTAGGAGTTTCTGTCTCCTGGGCTCACAAGAATGTAGCTATCAAGGAGAGTGGAGGGATAGATTATATTTATGGGCTTAAGCCTAGACAACATTGAGAAGACAACCAATCTCCTCAGCCATAATTATGTCCCCTAAGTTTTTCAAAAAATGTTCCTTACAGCATCTTACTCTATTGCCTTTTCCTACACAATTGAACAGTTATGCCATATGCGGAGTCTTGGGAAGAAGCTGCATTTCATGGTGGCTGGAGTGGTTATGTGAAAAAGAAACTGCCTAAATTGCCTGAGGATTTTCAGAGTGAAATAAGAATACCAGTAGAAACTTTCTGTATTTATGAATATAAAGTTAAAAGCAAATACATTTTTTTCATATTGCATGATCCAATGTCAGAGCTATGATTTTAACATTGTTACAGCCTTTTTTTAATGCTACTTACCTATCAGGAGAACATTGTAAAGTAAAAAAATACATCTGCTGTGTCTTCTTGAAACTGCATTAAGTAGGGCCTTCGCAGCTAGAGTGAGCTGTATGTGTGAGAACAGCTTATTACTCCCTCATTCTCATCAGATCTGCATGTTGAGATCCAGCTATATATGTTACTGCCATCTTTCATAACAAACAAGATTAGTTATTGACATGGTGCTTTTCTTTTTCATTTATTCCTGATTGACACAGATTGCAGTAGACGACAAACATACTCTACTATGATGGGATCAAACACCTTCATGGTGTTAAATGCCAGGTTAAATGCAAGGTAAAATGCTGGCATCACCTAAGAAGGAGCATTCACAAAAGCTAACTGAAGCCTAGCAGTGATCTTGCTTGGCAGCCTCTTGTGAATGAAGACAGACTGGTTCCTCCAGGCAAGAGCTAAATTAGTCTTTTGCTTTGAATCATTGTCTGGAAGGGTCTTCCTCTCTTCTCCGTTGTCTGGACCGTTTTCAAGATGAATGAGCTGATGCTATGCTTTGTGAGTCAAGTCCTATGCTGAGAAGGTTAAGCTAAATTCCCCTGTGGAGTAACTTTACCAAACTTAGTGGTGTTCACTGACAGTTGAGTATGGCTCAAACATATTAGAAGATACCATTTGGATAAAATTGCATCGTAACCCCACTGCCCCCACTTCTATCAGTTATAAGAAATCCCACTGACTTCACTGAGGACAGGGTTTCATCTGAAGGGTCTTGGGATTTCCATGGCATATAATGAAAGTCATGTCAGTTCAACAAATATGCCAAGAAAATATTAGACTAGCATCAATAAATAACAAAACATTGAATAAGAATGGGACACTATGCTTAGTTATCCCACAAAATTAGGGATCTCTCACAACTTGCCAGGCAATGGGAGCAGCTTAAAAAATGTTTAACAGAGGAACAGCAAACAAATTCCTGTAAAATGGCAGTTGCTTTCTTTACTGGGCTGGGCAGCCCCATTTTTGAAGTAGCCTCTAATGAAGCTGTTCAGTCCAAGCCGGAGTTGGGAAGCTCTTCAGACTTTTTTTTTCACTGAAGCAGTGGCAACGGACAGAGTGCAGAGTTAGTCTGTAAGTGATCTGTCCAACATAAATGTAAATGTTAAGGCATTTTGATTTGTTTCCTTTTTTATTTATAGAATAAATATATATTTGATTGTTGTTCTATATATATACAATTTTGGCAGAAGTCACCATAGCTTTCAGGTCTTGGTGAAAAGAACTGTTCACAGTTTATTTGGTAATAGCAACTGATACAGGAATCCAAAAATAATCCTTATGGATGATTTGTAGGAATACTTGTTGCTGTGTTCCCAAGTATTCATGGTGCTGATACCTAGGAGGAATGAACCCACATATGTCACAGGAAACTAGGTTTCATATTGACAGGTTCTACTGAGCTTAGGGACACCCAATTCAAAATATTTCTGCTTATAAGAAACTCACCATGCTTCTTTGCCTTTTTTTTCCCCATGGGAACATTTTCACATAGGAATCTACTTTGTCTCCTGGGAAATCATGGAGTAAATCTTTGGTAGCAGGAGTTGTCATTTTTTATATGCATCCCTTCATGGGTAGGGTTGGGAGGGCATGTAATTACCGAAAACAAGAGAGTCAGTGAGCATTTTTTGTGTAACACATGTCTGTAAATACAGAAAAATAGTCTAAATGGGATTCTGTATAACATTAAAGTGCTTTAAGCTCTCCTCTGAGGTTGAAGTTAGATCATTTTAAAATAGTCTTCAAAAGTAATTTTAAAGAATTTGCAGGACTTATGCACTTTACATGCTGTCTTGGGTAGCATCGTTTATTCTATCATCAACTCTGTTTAAATTGGTTGTATTTTTAGAAAAGAATCCTCACTGAATCACTTTTTAAAACAATTTTTGTGCAGTCTTCAGCACGTAGATCTCTGTAGGTCACAGGAGAGGTTTCACCTCAACATTTTACCAAAGAACTAGTAGATGGTTTTGATTTGCTTACATATGAGAAGTAGTTGGTCAAGTAAGGAGTCCTCTGTTAAGCCAAAAGGATTAGGGTTTTTTGCCTGCCTATTAATTTTTAATATTTTATTTATTGTTGTCAAATGACACAATATTTTATTATTTCTCTTCATGATTTGTATTAGTAAGAGAACGGTACCACCACTTTCTTACAGTGAGCTGTTCTCGATCTGAATTGTAGACTGCGTTCAAAACTGGAGCACGGTTGGTGCTCTTGAGCGATTCTCAACTCAAGAGAACATGCCTTCTTCCCATGGGTCTCATTTTAGGAAGTTTTTTAAAGATATACCAGAACAATGTAAAATATATTCCCTTTGTTCTATCTGCCAAAACATGAAAATATGGTCTTCCTCTTTGAAAAAGATAATGGTCATTGTTCTTTGAGCAATTAATACTATTCTAACTTTCCCAAGTTTTTCTATCTTACTTTCATGTATTGCTAGAAAAATGTAATTGTATAAGAACATAACTTATCTACTGGGTCAAGACAAAAGTCCTTCTAGCCCAACATCCTGCCTGATGATGGCAAAAAGCAAATGCTTAGGAAGGAGTGTTAAAACAGACAAGCGCATGGTGTTACTTCCTTTGAGAAACCCTTCCACCCTCCAGCAGCCAGTGGCTTAAACATGTCCTGAGAGAAAAATTGCATCACTATCGGTGTATTTAATAATCCTTGCTGTGCTTTTTCTTCCATTACTTTGTCTGACTGCTTTCTTGATCCACAGTATTTGTATCTTCCATAATACTGTATGACGGCGAGTTCCGCCGTTTAATTGCATATTGTGTAAAAAACAATGTTACAGTTTCAAATGTAGAATTAAATTTTCATAGTGATAAATACAGTTAACACCCCAGATTCTGTCCTGGTCAGTCACACTTTAATTCAAGAGTGTTAGCTGGGAGAGATACAGGTGGCTAAATGCTTGTATGTCTTGAAGTTTCAATTTTTTCTACCATATCCAATGAGTAGACTTTGTTAATAAGGATTAAAAACATTGCCTTCTGCTACATCAAACTTTTTTCTATTTAGAAGAATATTTAGCTGGGATGAACCTTAAATTTCACCTAAATAAATGAGCCTTTCAGCATTTGCACATAACATCCTCAGCTACTGTGTAGAGGATATCAGGTCTTTTAGCTTTACAGAGTTTAGGTCACAGTTGCTTAGGATATTGTTCTCGGAGAGGTAATCAAACCAAAATACGTATTTCGTGCTGACATTTCTAGCTCAGGTTCATTCTAAAACTTCCAGGTAAATAGTTTTGCCTGGGGGCTTGTGAAGACGTGTGCAGGCTGAGCTGTCTAATGGACATGGAAGGCTTAACGGTCATGTAAAGATACAGTAAAATAAAATTGATAAAATTTGAAATGTTTATTTTCCAGAGCTCCTTTTGTAGGTTAAATGCACAGCAGTGACTTTTCTCTCTGTTATACAGAGGAGCCAATATACTGTTATACACCACACAACTTCACCCGCGATCAAGCCTTGTATGCCAGAGGATATTGTTGGACAGAATTAAAAGATGCCTTGCCAGGAGTTGATGCCAGCCACTGGCCCTCCTTGTTTGAGCATAAGTTCCTACCTTATGCACTGCTGGCTTTTGCTGGGATAATGTACATTCCAGCTCTGGGCTGGGAATTTCTGGCCTCCACCCGACTGACTTCAGAGCTTAATTTTTTGCTTCAGGAGATCGATAACTGCTACCACCGTGCAGCTGAAGGGCGGGCACCAAAAATAGAGAAACAGATTCAGTCCAAAGGCCCGGGGATCACCGAGAGAGAGAAGAGAGAAATCATTGAGAATGCAGAGAAGGAAAAAAGCCCCGAACAGAACTTGTTTGAGAAATACCTGGAAAGAAGAGGACGAAGTAACTTTTTAGCTAAGCTTTACCTTGCGAGACATTTGTTCATCATCTTTTTAAGCATCATACCAATTACATACTTGTCCACCTACTATGCTACACAGAAGCAAAATGAATTTACATGTGCACTAGGAGAGCCTCCCGACAAAACGAGCAGCTCCAAACTGCACATCAGAGTGAACTGTAAACTGCCATCTGTCCAGCTCCAGCGGATTATTGCTGGTGTAGATATCGTTCTCCTCTGCTTCATGAACTTGATAATCCTCATCAACTTAATTCACCTCTTCATATTTCGCAAGTCCAACTTCATATTTGATAAACTGAACAAAGTTGGAATAAAGACCAAGAAACAGTGGCAGAAGTCCCAGTTTTGTGATATCAATATTTTGGCCATGTTTTGTAATGAAAATCGGGACCACATAAAATCACTGAACCGTCTGGATTTTATTACAAATGAAAGCGATCTGATGTATGACAATGTGGTACGCCAGCTGCTTGCAGCACTGGCCCAGTCCAATCATGATGCCACTCCAACCATGCGTGATTCAGGGATCCAAACGATAGACCCAAGCGTTGATCCAGCAGACATTGATGCTAATGAGCAGCTCATCATTAAGAGACCAAGGAAGAAGATGAAATGGATCCCGACTACCAATCCTCTTCCTCAGCCATTCAAGGAACAGTTAGCCATTATGAAGGTTGAAAACCATAAACCCGAAAAACCGAAGCCTGTGCGGAGAAAAACAGCAACAGACAGCCTTATAGCTCCTTTGTTAGAGTCCGCTGCAAAAACCTCACAGCAATCGTCCACTCATAAAACCGAGCCAAACGCCATCCCAAGCACAAGCAGTGAGAAAAAACACACACGACACTTTTCCTTGGATGTTCATCCATACATACTTAGCAGCAAAAAACCCAAGCCGGAGATTCAAGCCATCCCCTCGATGCCTACGTCAAAAAGCCAAGAGGGTGGATTTTTAAACCAGGAAGAGAATGTCGTTGTACACGTTACCTCCTCTCTCAAAGGTACAGTATGCCATCATGCCCATACCACCTCCACAGACCATAATTTGCCTAGCGATCTTCAGAAACTCAAAGCTTATCTGAACTGTTTGACCTACCTTGCTAGATTTTGGGATAGCTAATAATCTTAGGGTTTTCAGGCCTCAGAAATAGGGGTTCTCTCTCTTTATCAGTTATATGGAGGATAAGCATTATTACAGGCAGGGCGGTACAAAACAGCCTGCAGGTTGTTGGTGCAGGTAATTTTTCAAATGTAAGCAGATTTTCACAATTACGAATGTGGTCATGCCATGCCAAGAAAATAAGGAGGGTTTGGCCTCCATGATACCCTTCGCGCTCTACCAGCACCTGGCACGTTTCAAACCTGCCTTATTTTCAAGTCATATGGGAACTGCCATGGTAGATGGCCAGTACTCTGACCAGTAATAGCCACTTCTTAGGAGTGTGTGAGAAACTGTGCTAATGGCAGTTAAAGCTCCCTGTGGAAAAAATTCTCTTTAACTGCCAGTTCTTAGGGGTTGGTATGTGTTTGTCACCTAGATCACAGCTCAGATCACTGATATTGTTCTTCATGCAAGAGACGTTTTAAATTGCCCTTTGTCTCATGTGGACCGGAGAATGGGTGGTCTGAAGTGTAGGTGCTGGTCAGGGATTCAGGAATTCTGCCATTCCCTTCCCATGTGGCCTCACAGGAGATGCTCTTTCTGTGCCTCAGTTCCCAGTGTGTGTCTTGGAAATCCTGTCCCTTTCTTACCTCAAAGGAGTGTTTCAAGTATATCGATAATTGTTAGGTGCTAGAGTGATGGGGAAAGCCATGTGAGCACTAAGAAAAGTGATAGATCAGTAGATAAACTGATAGACAGATAGGTATCTTCTTGTTTATTATTGTAAGCTACTGACATAAGAAAGAAGCACTATGCAGTTGAAGTTACAGAAAGATTTGTACATGCTTAAAGCAATGGCTCTCATCTCATTACAAGCTAAGACCTCCCTCTGGGCTTCGACAGACTGACAGCTACCGTCACCCCACTGCCCAGCACAGAAGTGATTTGAGGTATAAAAGTTTCTGTCACTTCCAAATCCTTATGCTCCTTAGAGCCCTCCAACTCCCCAATGTGCATGTGAGCTATTCTACAGCATTCCTTATCCAGTCACCTGCTCCGATTTCAACTCCTCAAAACTACTGGGGTTTTCTGGTCTCAATTACTTTAATCTAAATTAGTGCTTGAATATTTTAAGGGCAAAAAATAATTACTGTAGTTTTGGGGCTCTGTTACTCCCCATTCCCATTAAAATTTTCAGCTTTGCTTTTGAGTTAGACCTACATTGCAGTTCATCAGGTAAGGCAGACTTATAATTTCTGGAAAGAGACATCAGTGAATGTCAAATTGCTGAGTTCTTTCTAAAGACAAGTGGCTTACAATGTGTAACCACTATTTCTTCCCATTGGAAATATCAGTGCTTTTTGTATTCCATCCTGTGGGTTTCAACATTCATAACGTTTGTCAAAACATTAAATCATAACATTTATAAAACACCTGCCAGACTGTAGAGGAGGATAAAAGGTACTTTTCAGTTGTTTTTTGTTCATTTTATGAAAATACCATTCACGTAAGGAAGCATGAGCATGCGTAAAAAAGCAAGATTTACAAAACCCATTTGTTGTTTGTCCCGTTTCCCTGAGCTTACAACCCTGTTGTTTTGAAACAGTCCTGTTGGATTTCTCAAAGGGTCCCAAGAAAATTCATTTTTGGGTCCGCTCCTGCTCCCACTGAAATCAGTGGCAAAACTGCCAGTGACTTTTATTGGTTCAGGACACTGCTCCGTGATGGACTGGAAGGGTGAAAGACTACCTGTCTTTTAACTGGCTGTTTTGTTTTCTTCTAGACACCCCTCATCCTGCAAAAGAGATCCTATACTCATCTGAGACATGCAGAACTGTGCCTGCTGCCGGGGCTTTTGTCACATGTAACCACAACCATATAGCCACAACTGCTGCTGCAACGAGTATGACTTTGAACCAAGTCAAGCCAGAGCCCACACCTGCACTGAACTGCAACCCAGCCCACCCTTTACTGCACATCAACACACTGTACGAGGATCACGAGGAGGAAGTTTCAAACATAATAGACAATGGTATTCACTCACCAGCCGACACCGGGGAAATTCTCTCCATCCCTACCCCAAGGCAGATAAGGTTGGCAACATTTGATGAACCAATGGCAATTGTGAGCTCGGTGGAGTACTGAAGACCGCGGGCTGCACAGCTGCATCCTCGTGGCCAGGCCCAAGACCACTGCAGTGCAGACCATGGTCCCCCCCAACGATGCAATTCACTGCATGAGCATGGAGAGTTTTCACACAGACTATAGCTTTTGGTAATAACACCAAATGGTTTTTCAGGATCACATCATGAGCACTGTCAGTCATTTGCAAAACAGAATAAAGAAAATCGGGTGGAAATAGACCTTTAACACCAAGAGAACCATTAGATCTAGCTCTAATCTATAGCTTCCTGATTTAAATGGGGACTAGCACAATTTATGAACATTAAGAGTCTGATGACATGCCACAGTAATTTTAGTGAGTGTTTAAATCCTTTGCATTCAGAATCACTGATTAAAGATAAGACAACATGGAGGTGAGGTGTACTTTTTTTAATGGCAGCAGTTAAATAAGAGTTTTTTTCTAAGCAGAGAGGATTTTTTTTCAATTCAGGATTATGAAATAGTTATATGCAAGCAAAATTTTTGTTTGTTTCTTTATTTCTTTAGCTCACTAATGTTGGGCTTGATGGAGACTTAGCTGAAAGGGCCTTACTACCACCAGCATTTAAGTGCAAGAAGATTGATACACTCAATCTCTTGCATTTATAAATGAAAATACCTGAGGTATGCCCCGCCCTTTAACACGCTTACATGTTTGATGGAAGATGATGAAATGAAGAGTTTATTTTTTTAAATATATTTTACCATGGGAAAAATTACTTTAGTAACTTTTCAAACCAGGTGTTGCTTTTAACAAAATGTGTAGAAGAGAGTCATTGTAGCTGCTTATTTTTTCATAGTGTATTTATGAACCAGGTTAGAAACTTTCATGGGTGCTTCACTGATATGAAAAATCTTGCGAAGGTCATTACAAAATATCTTACAAAATATGAAACCAGCAAAACTGTTTTCAAATTACACACAGTTAAAGAAGTCTGTGAATTTCGGTCTGCAGACTTGGCTAGTCCTTGATTCAGCAAACACTTCAGGCCATGGGTGGCACTGAAACGACTCATTTGTCTAAAGCTAAGCACACACTGAAATGGCTTTGCTGGATCTGGGCTCTAGTGCAGGCAGACAATAATCCTGCAGTATGTGCTATCACATTGATTCAATATTTGCCTTCCTTGGCGCAAAGCACATCTTCATGCCCATCTTCCTATAACTACAGTATGTGTGATTTAATAGAAAACTCTAGTATAACTAAAACATCTATTAAAAGTGTATCATGCAATAAGCATTCTCAGCAAAATTATAGTGAAACAAAAAGTGACTGTGTTAAAATAATATTCCTAGCTGCATTCAGAATTACGGACTATGTGTGTTTGTTTCAAAATTATGTATAATGGTAGAAAAAAATACGCAGCACAAATATGGGACTGAAATCTTGAATTTATTTTTAATTTATTACCTCAGACATGGATATATGATACCAATATTTAATGAAAATAGCACTGAAAATAAATACCTATTATTCTGAATAGTTTAATGTGTACTACTTCCTAGCTTAGTTACGTACAAGTGGGATTTTATTATAAGCAGTAGGCGGCACATGTAAAGCCACTATTCCCCCTTACAGTAGGTCAGTTATGCCGAGCCTTTGTGGCCTGAACAGCCAAACACCAAAAAGGCAGCAAGCCACAGGAGATGTACCGCAGACAGGGGAGGGGGCGTTGAAGACAGCTGAAGGACCTGAATGTAGCACCCCGAGGTCTCAGCATGGCACGGGGCAGCGTGGAGGTGATGGGGAATGTGGAGCTCGGTCCAGGGCAGCTGGGAGATGATGGCTGCAATGGCTCCTGCTGGCTTGTCTCCTTCCAGCCCTGGCAATGTCGATGTTCCCCCACAGCCCACAGCAGAGCTGCCTGCGTGAGGCAGCCGTGGGATGAGCAGGGATTCGAGCAGTTTATACACTGCCTGTGGCTCCGGGGCTGTAGGTTCATCACCCCTCTTCTAACCCGCTCGAACACAAGCTGCAGGGTGTTCAGCATCACTGCCTGCATGACCGATAAACTGGTGTGACTTTTTAAATAACAGATCTGCACCTGCGTAGCCAGGCCCTCATTCTGCCCCAGGTACAGGAGGAAGCTTTCTGCAGTGAGGCAGCCTAGGAGTGGAGCATCACCCGTGACGGGACTGCAAGCAAGGTCTCTGCCCGGCCTGATGGGTAACTGCCACCCATTCAGAGTCACCTGAAAGCAATGGCACAGAGAGACTTCGGAGGTGAGCCAAATGCCCCACTGCATCCTATTCACTTAGATTAATACTGTAGTTAGAATTAGGTTTTGGGGCAAATTAAAACCATTATAGTTCAGTACTTGTTAAACACCAATAAATAATTAGAAAAAATATGGCAAATTGCCTTAAGAAAACTGGGAACCGGTTAATAAAAGCAGAGTGAAAGAATAGGACCCTGAGGCCAGATTTAAAGAGACGTAACTCCCTTATGCCACTGTATTTTCACTTGCCGGAAGGCAGCGTGGTGAATTTCTTCCCTCTTGCAGCAGCTCAGCTCACAACGTTACAAAGGCAAGGGGAAATGCTTGGGGTTGCCTGTTCGCTCTCCACTTGGTATCGCACATTGAGCAATATGTCAAGTGTACGGGTCTGTAGCTAAAGTGATGTACCAATATACATATATACCAGTGTCAGGCAAAGCAGACTATGTCTTAAAAACTAAGGATCTGAACTTTGTGTAGTACATTGAAAATAGCAACATTCAATAACTAGAGGGATTTTCATTATGCAGAAAGTGCGGGGCTGGGTTCTCGGGCAGGTACATGTACCGATCTAATGAGGGTGGTGTTTCCTAGGAAGGGTTGCCCACTAAGGTGCACATGTTGCCTATTCATTCAAGAGCAGGACTCAAGTCTGTGTGGACACACTGACATTCTCCGCGATACTGCTGGTTTCTATTGATTTGCTGATGCCCTTGTAGAAATCAATATCAGACTTGAATGGACCAACTTCAAGAAGGAATGGAAAGCATATAGCTCTCCTCATCCCTGGGACAAGGTGAACTCAGAGAACACCCACTTTACTCATCTTTACCTGTTGTGTTACAGGAGCGTTGCACTATCCTCTTTCACAAGCTGGAGGCTGTGGATGTCGGGCGTCCAGCTCTGAGTGTTAACACGCTAATTACTTGCTAAGGGTAAGATGGTGGCCCAGACAGCAAGCAGAGAGCAAGTGCAGCTTAGTCTTGGCTGATGTGGGGTAGATAACTGATGCAGGCACAACATAGCAAACACTGCCTTGCTGAACTGAAGGGAAAATGTCAGTGTCCTACCCACCTGAGGATACTGAGGGAGCTGGCAGAGGAGCTTGCCAAGCCACTTTCCATCATTTATCAGCAGTCCTGGTCAACCGGGGAGGTCCCAGCTGACTGGAAGCTAGCAAAGGTGACACCCCTCTACAAGAAGGGTCGGAAGGAGGATCCAGGGAACTACAGGCCTGTCAGCCAGACCTCGGTGCCAGGGAAGGTCATGGAGCAGATCATATTGAGTGCCATTACGCGGCACGTGCGGGACAATCAGGGGATCGGGGCCAGCCAGCATGGGTTTATGAAAGGCAGGTCCTGCTTCACTAACCTGGTCTCCTTCTATGACAAGGTGACCCGCTTAGTGCATGAGGGGAAGGCTATGGATGTTGTCTACTTGGACTTTAGTAAGGCCTTTGACACTGTCTCCCACAGCATTCTCCTGGAGAAGATGGCCGCTCACAGCTTGGATAAGTGCACTCTGCGTCGGGTTAAAAACTGGCTGGATGGCCGAGCCCAGAGAGTGGTGGTGAATGGAGTCAAATCCAGTTGGCGGCCAGTCACAAGTGGTGTTCCCCAGGGCTCAGTGTTGGGGCCGGTCCTGTTCAACATCTTCATTGATG